GAGCTCTGCAATTTCAATCTGTCTCCCTCTTGTTCCAAAATTTCCCAATATTTCTGCCATTTGGCCTCCATATTGAGCTTTTTCTGAGCCTTCGCTTCCATCGGTGACAACCACCTTGGGGTTTTATTTTCAAGTAGGTCCTTATATCTTATCCAGACATTAAACAATGCTTTCCTGACAATATGATTTTTAAATGCTTTATGTGCTTTGACCTAGAATCACAGAATCATAGAGTTGGAAGAGACCACAAGGGCCATCGAGTCCAACCCCCTGCCAAGCAGGAAACACCATCAGAGCACTCTTGACATATGGTTGTCAAGCCTCTGCTTAAAGACCTCCAAAGAAGGAGACTCCACCACACTCCTTGGCAGCAAATTCTACTGTCGAACAGCTCTTACTGTCAGGAAGTTCTTCCTAATGTTTAGGTGGAATCTTCTTTCTTGTAGTTTGGATCCATTGCTCCGTGTCCGCTTCTCTGGAGCAGCAGAAAACAACCTTTCTCCCTCCTCAATGTGACATCCTTTTATATATTTGAACATGACTATCATATCACCCCTTAACCTCCTCGTCTCCAGGCTAAACATGCCCAGCTCCCTTAGCCGTTCCTCATAAGGCATCGTTTCCAGGCCTTTGACCATTTTGGTTGCCCTCCTCTGGACACGTTCCAGTTTGTCAGTGTCTTTCTTGAACTGTGGTGCCCAGAACTGGACACAGTACTCCAGGTAAGGTCTGACCAGAGCAGAATACAGTGGCACTATTACTTCCCTTGATCTAGATGCTATACTCCTATTGATGCAGCCCAGAATTGCATTGGCTTTTTTAGCTGCCACGTCACACTGTTGGCTCATGTCAAGTTTGTGGTCAACCAAGACTCCTAGATCCTTTTCACATGTACTGCTCTCAAGCCAGGTGTCCCCCATCTTGTATTTGTGCCTCTCATTTTTTTTGCCGAAGTGCAATACTTTACATTTCTCCCTGTTAAAGTTCATCTTGTTTGTTTTTGCCCAGTTCTCTAATCTGTCAAGGTCGTTTTGAAGTGTGATCCTGTCCTCTGGGGTGTTAGCCACCCCTCCCAGTTTGGTGTCATCTGCAAATTTGATCAGGATGCCCTTGAGTCCATCATCCAAGTCGTTGATAAAGATGTTGAATAAGACCGGGCCCAAGACAGAACCCTGTGGCACCCCACTAGTCACTCTTCTCCAGGATGAAGAGGAACCATTGATGAGCACCCTTTGGGTTCGGTCAGTCAGCCAGTTACAAATCCACTGAGTGGTAGCATAGTCAAGACCGCATTTTACCAGCTTCTTTACAAGAATATCATGGGGCACCTTGTCAAATGCCTTGCTGAAATCAAGGTAGGCTACATCCACTGCGTTCCCTTCATCTACCAGGCTTGTAATTCTGTCAAAAACGAGATCAGGTTAGTCTGACATGACTTATTTTTCAGAAATCCATGCTGACTATTGGTGATCACAGCATTCCTTTCTAGGTGCTCACAGACTGTTTGCTTAATGATCTGCTCCAGAATCTTCCCTGGTATTGATGTCAGACTGACTGGGCGGTAATTATTTGGGTCCTCTCTTTTCCCCTTTTTGAAAATAGGGACAACATTTGCCCTCCTCCAGTCTGCCGGGACTTCACCTGTTCTCCAGGAATTCTCAAAGATGACTGCCAGTGGTTCTGAGATCACATCTGCCAGTTCTTTTAATACTCTTGGATGCAGTTCATCTGGCCCTGGAGACTTGAATACATCTAAACTAGCCAAGTATTTTTGTACTATCTCCTTAGTTATTCTGGGCTGTGTTTCCTCTGCTGAATCATTTGCTCCAAATTCTTCAGGTCGGGCATTGTTTTCTTTATCGGAGAAGACTGAGGCAAAGAAGGCATTGAGGAGTTCAGCCCTTTCTGTGTCCCCTGTTTGCATTTCACCATCTTCTCCTCTGAGTGACCCCACTGTTTCTTTGTTCTTCCTTTTGCTACGAACATACCCATAAAAGCCTTTTTGTTGCTTTTAACCTCTCTAGCAAGCCTGAGTTCATTCTGTGCTTTAGCTTTTCTGACTTTGTGTCTACACGTGCTGGCTATTTGTTTGAATTCCTCTTTGGTGGTTTCCCCCCTTTTCCATTTTTTGTACACATCCTTTTTTAATCTTAACTCACCTTATCATACCACAAATATGCATGCCATCCAAATACATTATTAAAGCCTTCTAAATCCAAAATGTCTGTGTTTTCAAGAAGCAGCCATTCTTTCAGCCAGCAAAAAGCTGCTGATTCATTATAAAGTTTAAGGTCTGGCAGGGCAAATCCACCTCTTTCCTTTGCATCTGTTAGTATTTTAAATTTTATTCTAGGCTTCTTGCCCTGCCAGACAAATCTAGAAATATCTCTCTGCCACTTCTTGAAGCAATCCATTTTATCCAAAATTTGCAATGTTTGAAACAGAAACAACATTCTAGGCAATACATTCATTTTTATCGCAGCAATACGGCCTAGCAATGAAAGCTTCAAATTTGACCAGATTTCTAAATCTTTTTTCACTTCAGTCCAGCATTTTTCATAATTGTCTTTAAATAGATTCCCATTTTTAGCTGTCATGTTAATCCCCAGGTATTTTACTTTCTAAACCACTGTTAAACCTGTCTCATTCTGAAACCTCTCTCTCTCAATCGCTGTTAAATTTTTCTCTAAGACCTTTGTTTTTGACTTATTCAGTTTAAATCCTGCAACCTGACCAAATTCTTGAATCAGTTCCAAAACTCTTTTGGTACTAGATTCTGGCTCCTGTAATGTCAATTCTAAGTCATCTGCAAATGCTCTCAATTTGTACTGTTTAGCTCTGACTTGTATACCTTTAACCAATTGGTCCCTTCTAATCATATTCAGCAGGACCTCCAGGACCGATATAAAAAGCAATGGGGAGATTGGGCAACCTTGTCGTGTCCCTTTTCTATCTTAAATTCCTCCGTCACCACGTTATTAACAATTAATTTAGCCTTTTGTTCTGAATAAATTGCACTTATACCGTTTCCAAAGCCTTGGCCTACCCCCATCCCCTGTAGATTCTTCTTCATAAAACTCCAAGAAATGTTGTCAAAAGCTTTCTCCGCGTCCACAAATATCAAAACTGCCTTGGTATTAATATTCACTTGTAATTTTTCTAAAATATTGATTATGTTTCTCATATTATCAGACAAGTGTCTACCCGGAGAAAGCCTGCTTGATCTTTATGAATCTCTTCCACTAACAGTTTTTTAGTCTTTTAGCCAAAATGTCTGCAAAGATTTTATAATCCACATTAAGCAGTGATATGGGGCGGTAGTTCTTAAGCTGCGTCTTTTCAGTCTCTGTTTTCGGTATAAGTGTGATATACGCTTCCTTCCACGACTCTGGTGCTCTTTTCCCATCCATTATTTCATTACAAACTTCCTTTAAAGGTTGTACTAACCATTCTCTTAAAGATCTGTAGTATCTAGAAGTCAGTCCATCCAGTCCTGGAGATTTACCTAATTGCATATTCTGAATGGCACCTTCTACCTCCTGTTCAGTTATTTTATAGTTCAGCATTAATTTATTTTCTTGAGAGATTTTTGTAATCCATTTATTTTCAAAAATCGGTCTACATCAATTTCTTTCTGTGGCCCTTGTGTATATAGTTGTTTAAAATACCTCTGGAAACAGTTTCTAATCTCGACTGGGTTCTGTATGTTCTTTCCTTCCACTTCTAAATTTATAACAGTGTTTAGTTTTTGTCTTTTTTTCATTTGCCAGGCCAACAATTTCCCACATTTATTAGCCGACTCAAATGTCTTTTGTCTCATTTGTTTGATTTTCCATTCTATCTCCTGATTCATCATTTTCATGTATTGTACTTGATATAACTTTATTTCTCTCAAGATCTCTTGCAACTTTGGTTTTGCTCTCAATTTCTTTTCACTTTCCTTTATTTTCTCCAAAATTTTATCCTTCTTCTCATTTTGAATTCTCTTCTTTATTGCATTCTGTTGTATCAAGAACCCTCTCATAACCGCTTTGCTTGCATCCCAGATTACTCTTTTTTCAACATTAGTGTTCATATTTATCTCAAAATAGTCTCTCAAGGTTTTTTGGGCTTTCTTAGTCACTTCTTCATCTCTAAATAAGGTGTCATTCATCCTCCATCTGAAAGAGCCAGTTGGTGTTAGTTTCATCTCCATCTTCACAGCATTATGGTTGGAGCAGGTTTTTGGACAAATTTCCACTTTTCTTGTCTTTGGTGCCATTCCTCTAGTTACCCATATTTGGTCAATTCTTGTCCATGTCATTTTGGCTTCAGAGAAGAAGGTTCCCTCTATAGCCAAGGGATTCTTTGTTCTCCAGATATCAACTAAGTCCAAGTTGTCTGTCATCTCAAAAAAAGGTTTTCGGTAGTCTACCATCCTTAGTGACTACCTGTCTTTGTGCCTTGTCCATATTTGTAGATACCACTCCCTTCATATCTCCCATCAAAATCACATTATAGTCCAAATAGTCCATCAAGGTCTCATGCAACTTTTTAAAGGGCACACGTACAATGCATCTGAATACCAGAGGACAAAAGAAAATGAGAGTGCTCTTGTGCTCCTGCTTGCGGGTTTCCCACAGGAATCATAGAATCATAGAATCATAGAATCATAGAGTTGGAAGAGACCACAAGGGCCATCGAGTCCAACCCCCTGCCAAGCAGGAAACACCATCAGAGCACTCCTGACATATGGTCGTCAAGCCTCTGCTTAAAGACCTCCAAAGAAGGAGACTCCACCACACTCCTTGGCAGCAAATTCCACTGTCGAACAGCTCTTACTGTCAGGAAGTTCTTCCTAATGTTTAGGTGGAATCTTCTTTCTTGTAGTTTGGATCCATTGCTCCGTGTCCGCTTCTCCGGAGCAGCAGAAAACAACCTTTCTCCCTCCTCTATGTGACATCCTTTTATATATTTGAACATGGCTATCATATCACCCCTTAACCTCCTCTTCTCCAGGCTAAACATGCCCAGCTCTCTTAGCCGTTCCTCATAAGGCATCGTTTCCAGGCCTTTGACCATTTTGGTTGCCCTCCTCTGGACACGTTCCAGTTTGTCAATGTCCTTCTTGAACTGTGGTGCCCAGAACTGGACACAGTACTCCAGGTGAGGTCTGACCAGAGCAGAATACAGTGGCACTATTACTTCCCTTGATCTAGATGCTATACTCCTATTGATGCAGCCCAGAATTGCATTGGCTTTTTAGCTGCCGCGTCACACTGTTGGCTCATGTCAAGTTTGTGGTCAACCAAGACTCCTAGATCCTTTTCACATGTACTGCTCTCAAGCCAGGTGTCCCCCATCTTGTATTTGTGCCTCTCATTTTTTTGCCCAAGTGCAATACTTTACATTTCTCCCTGTTAAAATTCATCTTGTTTGTTTTGGCCCAGTTCTCTAATCTGTCAAGGTCGTTTTGAAGTGTGATCCTGTCCTCTGGGGTGTTAGCCACCCCTCCCAATTTGGTGTCATCTGCAAATTTGATCAGGATGCCCTTGAGTCCATCATCCAAGTCGTTGATAAAGATGTTGAATAAGACCGGGCCCAAGACAGAACCCTGTGGCACCCCACTAGTCACTCTTCTCCAGGATGAAGAGGAACCATTGATGAGCACCCTTTGGGTTCGGTCAGTCAGCCAGTTACAAATCCACTGAGTGGTAGCATAGTCAAGACCACATTTTACCAGCTTCTTTACAAGAATATCATGAGGCACCTTGTCAAATGCCTTGCTGAAATCAAGGTAGGCTACATCCACTGCGTTCCCTTCATCTACCAGGCTTGTAATTCTGTCAAAAAACGAGATCAGGTTAGTCTGACATGACTTATTTTTCAGAAATCCATGCTGACTATTGGTGATCACAGCATTCCTTTCTAGGTGCTCACAGACTGTTTGCTTAATGATCTGCTCCAGAATCTTCCCTGGTATTGATGTCAGACTGACTGGGCGGTAATTATTTGGGTCCTCTCTTTTCCCCTTTTTGAAAATAGGGACAACATTTGCCCTCCTCCAGTCTGCCGGGACTTCGCCTGTTCTCCAGGAATTCTCAAAGATGACTGCCAGTGGTTCTGAGATCACATCTGCCAGTTCTTTTAATACTCTTGGATGCAGTTCGTCTGGCCCTGGAGACTTGAATACATCTAAACTAGCCAAGTATTCTTCTACTATCTCCTTAGTTATTCTGGGCTGTGTTTCCTTTGCTGAATCATTTGCTCCAAATTCTTCAGGTCGGGCATTGTTTTCTTTATCGGAGAAGACTGAGGCAAAGAAGGCATTGAGGAGTTCAGCTCTTTCTGTGTCCCCTGTTTGCATTTCACCATCTTCTCCTCTGAGTGACCCCACTGTTTCTTTGTTCTTCCTTTTGCTACGGACATACCCATAAAAGCCTTTTTTGTTGCTTTTAACCTCTCTAGCAAGCCTGAGTTCATTCTGTGCTTTAGCTTTTCTGACTTTGTGTCTACACGTGCTGGCTATTTGTTTGAATTCCTCTTTGGTGGTTTCCCCCCTTTCCATTTTTGTACACATCCTTTTTAATCTTAACTCAGTTAAAAGTTCTTTAGATAGCCACCCTGGCTTCTTTAGGCACCTTCCATGTTTCTGTCTCATTGGTATTGCCTGACGTTGTGCTTTTACTATCTCCCTCTTAACAAACTCCCAGCCATCATGAACTCCCTTTCCTTTTAGTATTACTGTCCATGGGATCTCACCCAGCACTTCCCTAAGTTTTATGAAGTCAGCTTTCTTAAAGTCAAGAAATTGAGTCCTAGTATGCTTGGCTGCTCCTTTCCGCTGTATAGTAAACTTCAGAAGAGCATGATCACTCGCACCTAATGATCCTTCCACTTCTACCCCACTAACCAGGTCATCAACATTGGTTAGGACCAGATCTAAAATGGCTGTTCCTCTTGTTGCTTCTCCCACTTTCTGGACAATGAAGTTGTCTGCAAGGCCAGTGAGGAATCTGTTTGACCTTATGCTCTTGGCTGAGTTTGACATCCAACAAATATCCGGGTAATTGAAGTCCCCCATTACTACTATCTCCCTTCCTTTTGCATGCTTGGCCATCTGTTCCAGGAAGGCATCATCTATGTCCTCCGTTTGGCTTGGGGATCTATAGTAAACTCCCACAATGAGGTCACTGTTATTCTTCTCTCCCTTAATTTTGACCCAAATGCTCTCACTTTGGCTTTGAGGTTCTAAATCTTGGATCTCTTCACAGGTATACACATCCCTGACATATAACGCCACTCCTCCTCCTTTCTTGTCTGGTCTGTTTCTCTGAAATAGATTGTATCCCCCATTATTACATTCCAATCGTGGGACTTATCCCACCAGGTTTCAGTGATGCCTATTATGTCATATTTAGTTTGCTGTACCAAGAGCTCAAGCTCATCTTGTTTATTTCCCATGCTTTGCGCATTAGTGTACAGACATTGAAGTCCATTAATCATTCCCCGTGACTCTTATTTAAGGATTTTTCCTCCCACCACTAGGTCTGTGTGCTGTTTGCTCCATTTGGTCTATGACATTTGGATGATCATCTTCATCAATTGATAGACTCCTACCTTCAGGAGCACTGTCTCCCTCCCCACATTAGTCAGTTTAAAGCCCTCCTGATGAGGTTTCTGAGATTTTTGGCAAAAACATTTCTCCCATACGTTGTGAGGTGCAGCCCATCGCTTGCCAGAAGTCCATCTTCAAGAAACTGCAGTCCGTGATCTAAGAATCCAAACCGTTCCTGTTTACACCATTTGCGAAGCCAGCTGTTTACTTCCACTATTTTCCCCTCTCTCCCTGGGCCACGTCGTTCAACTGGGAGGACAGATGAGATCACAATTTGTGCATTTAATTGCTTCAATTTCCTGCCCAGAGCCTCGTAGTCTCTTTTGATCTTCTGGAGGCTATTGCTTGCAGTGTCATTGGTTCCCACATGAACCAAGAGGAAGGGGTATTTGTCAGTGGGTTTTATGATTCCTTGCAGTCGTTCAGTTACATCTTGGATCTTAGCCCCGGGAGACAGCACACTTCCCGAGACATCTTGTCAGGCCCACAGATCACTGCTTCTGTTCCCCTCAGTAGGGAATCCCCTATCACCACTACACGCCTCCTCTTAGGTTTGGTCGGGGTTCTTCCGTGAGCTGTCCGCTCCAAGGTCGCCTGCACATTCCCTGAGGACTGACTTTGCTGCTCGTCTTCATTTACCTGATCGACTGTAATGAGGGAGAGATCCTCAAATGGAGTCTGCTCTTCGTCTTCCATGCTAGGGGAGAGGACCTCAAAGCGATTGTGTATTTCTAAACAATTAGAGCGAACCCTGGGCCTCCTACTTCTTTGAGTCACGTTTCTCCATATATCTGGCTCCTGTGTTGGTGAACTAGCGTCCTTCTCAGGGGAGTCCCCTGTCTCCTCCTTGGTGGAGACGGTGTGCTCTGTTGCTTCCAAGAAGAGCTCCAGCTCTCTAATTCTTTGGAGCGTAGCTACACGTTCCTCCAGTTGCTGGACTTTGTCTTTTAAGAGGGCAATCAACATGCAATTGCTGCAGGTAAAGCTGCCTGCAACCTTTGGCAAGATGGCAAACATTGCGCAGGAACCGCAGGCGACTGCAGCTGTTCCCTCCCCCTCCGTCTTGAGAACGTGTCGTTGGGGGTGGCTACAGCGGTCCTCCATCATAAAAAGCGCGAAGACAGGAAAAATAACTCCCCCCACAAAAAAACCTAGGTCTCCAACAAATGTTTGAGATTAGCTCCCCTAAATTTAAAAGATGGATCAAACTGCGCACGCCGCTAGGCGCGCGCCGCTGCCCTGCAATCTCTGATAAGCTGATCCTCCAACATTTATCCTATGAAAATAGGGATGCCCTATTCCATTATTATTATTTTATTATTTATACCCCACCCATCTTACTGGGTTGCCCCAGGCACTCTGGGTGGCTTCCAACATGTATATAAACATAATAAAACATTAAGAAACTTCCCTCTACAGGGCTGCCTTCAGATATCTTCTAAAGGTTGTACAGTTACTAATCTCCTTGTTCTCTGAGACATGGAGGGGAGGAAAAAGGAAAACTGGGACATTCCGGGATTGAATCAGAAACTAGGGTGGCATCTGTAAATCCAGGACTGTCCCTGGAAAGTAGGGACACTTGGAGGGTCTGCAGGCATTGGCTGGTCTCTGTAAGAACAGGATGCTGGATTAGATGGGCCATTGGTCTGATCCACCAGGGTGCAGGATACATAGATGGATGAAGAAGACAAAGGAATCCAAGGAAATTTGGGGCTGAGGAAAACTAGCATGAGAGGAACACAAGGACCAAATCATCCCCAACCACAGGCAGGGTTGATCTAGTGAGAGGGATCAGTTCTCCTCCTGGAGAGGTGGCCAAAGACTTTAGTGGACCTCTGCCTCTTCCTTCCTCATGTCATCCTCATGGGGAACATCACCCATCACCAAAACTTTCTGACAGTAAGAGCTGTTTGGCAGTGGAACGGTCTCCTTCAGGAGATTGTGGACGACCCTTCCTTGGAGGTTTTTAAGCAGAGGTCAGATGGCCATCTGCCACGGCTGCTTTCGCTGAGATTCCTGCATTGAAGGGGGTTGGACTAGATGATCCTCAGAGTCACTTCCAACTCTACAATTCTGTGATTCTATGATCTTCAGGTAAAGGACAAACCACAGGCCACAGGCACGCACCCCTGAATATCAGGTTTTCACTTTTAAAATATGAGCAGAAAGACTGCACCTACGCTGGAAACCCTGAGGATGGAAATTCATGGGAAATTGTTTTTCAGGATTATGTGGGGGGTTTTAAGTACGTGTGCCCTTGCAACTCGGAATTTAATCAGGCTGAGAGAAACAAGGTTAGCTATGCCAAGCCTCTGACCTTTCCCAGCTGCAGACAGCCTCTGATACAGTATTTAGATTTAAGTGAGCAGAACCTTAGGGCTGGAATTGCTGGAACCAAACAATGTTCCTGGTTTTCTGGAAATCCACCACAAACGCGAAAAATGCTTTCTGGTTGGTCTGAGGAACTGATTTCGGCTGAGTGACTAAAATGTAAATTTCCATGACAAATCTACCCTCATGCTACAGAAGGAAAGTGTTGATTTAGTGTGCTCTGGTTTTTTTAATGGAGAAATCTGGGTATGTATCCTTAGCTGACCCCTGGTGGTTTTCAGAAGATTTTGTTTTGTTTTTGTTTTTTGGCTGAGCCTCACAGTTGTGTTGGATGCATTTACTTCCTCTGCAAATTACAAAGAAGAGGGTAAGTTTGTGAAGAGAGAGTAGCTGCAGTAGCAGCATAGGTGTGAAAAGTAGAGAAAGTGAAGCATTTCCTCAATGTAGGAGACGCAGCAGGAAGCAAGAGGGAACTCTTTCTGGCTTAAAACCCAGTGACAACCAGGAAAGTAAACTTCTTCCAAGAACAGGTATATTCAGGCAGAAGGAGAAGAGGGAAGAACTTTGCCCAGTGTTGTCACTGAGAGTTCAGTGGTGAGATGACTTTCAACCCTCACCTTGGGTAGATTCAAAAGCAAGCAGGGCTCTGCACCCTGTGGAATTTGTTTCATCTGGAACAACTACTGGATTTGGAGAGCTTGCCATTCTCCAGTTTTCTGAGGGCAAATAGCCCAAATTTTACATGACAGCTTTCCTTTCTTGCCAGTCCTATATCTGGCCTAAAAATTCATGAATTCTTCAGGCTTCTGACTGGTCCTCCATTAACAGTAAATTAATGAAAAGAAAGGTCTATGTCAAGGAAGAAGGATAAAGTGCCCACGCTTTGATTGGAACGCACTCTTTATTTGCATGCAAAAATCCCCTACAGTTTTTTTAAAACCCTGAAAAGGCAGAGAAACCTTTTCGCATGAAGCTGTGGTCTAAACCGCTGAGCCTAGGGCTTGCCGATCGGAAGGTCAGCACTTTGAATCCCCGCGACGGGGTGAGCTCCCGTTGCACAGTCCCTGCTCCTGCCAACCTAGCAGTTCGAAAGCATGTCAAAGTGCAAGTAGATAAATAGGTACCGCTCCGGCGGGAAGGTAAATGGCATTTCCGTGCACTGCTCTGGTTTTGCCAGAAGCGGCTTAGTCATGCTGGCCACATGACCCGGAAAAACTGTCTGTGGAAGCGGACAAATGTCGGCTCCCTCGGCCAGTAAAGCGAGATGAGTGCTGCAACCCCAGAGTCGTTCGCGACTGGACTTAACTGTCAGGGGTCCTTTACCTTTAAAGCCCACATGCTTGAATTTATCTAAGTGCAGGTCCATTTCCAATATCTGCCTTAGCTTCTGGGCAACAGGGCTACAGCTTTCCCCATGGAACAGTGTTGATAGGTGGCTGCTTAGGAGAGGTTAGCCCAGAAGCTACCACCCCTCTCCATTTTGTTCTTTTTCCAAGGCTAGGCCTTAATGCTGCCATCGGACCCTGCCACCCTCTGACCCAACCAACTCTGCCCTGCCACAAAGTTCCCTACCCACCTTGAGGGGATGGTGCACAGCTAGAAGATTCATGCCCAGTACCCACATGCTTCTTGTTTCAATGGCTGCTTTCCCAGACTGGAGGAGGGCAAATGTTGTCCCTATTTTCAAAAAGGGGAAAAGAGAGGACCCAAATAATTACCGCCCAGTCAGTCTGACATCAATACCAGGGAAGATTCTGGAGCAGATCATTAAGCAAACAGTCTGTGAGCACCTAGAAAGGAATGCTGTGATCACCAATAGTCAGCATGGATTTCTGAAAAATAAGTCATGTCAGACTAACCTGATCTCGTTTTTTGACAGAATTACAAGCCTGGTAGATGAAGGGAACGCAGTGGATGTAGCCTACCTTGATTTCAGCAAGGCATTTGACAAGGTGCCCCATGATATTCTTGTAAAGAAGCTGGTAAAATGCGGTCTTGACTATGCTACCACTCAGTGGATTTGTAACTGGCTGACTGACCGAACCCAAAGGGTGCTCATCAATGGTTCCTCTTCATCCTGGAGAAGAGTGACTAGTGGGGTGCCACAGGGTTCTGTCTTGGGCCCGGTCTTATTCAACATCTTTATCAACGACTTGGATGATGGACTCAAGAGCATCCTGATCAAATTTGCAGATGACACCAAATTGGGAGGGGTGGCTAACACCCCAGAGGACAGGATCACACTTCAAAACGACCTTGACAGATTAGAGAACTGGGCCAAAACAAACAAGATGAATTTTAACAGGGAGAAATGTAAAGTATTGCACTTGGGCAAAAAAATGAGAGGCACAAATACAAGATGGGGACACCTGGCTTGAGAGCAGTACATGTGAAAAGGATCTAGGAGTCTTGGTTGACCACAAACTTGACATGAGCCAACAGTGTGACGTGGCAGCTAAAAAAGCCAATGCAATTCTGGGCTGCATCAATAGGAGTATAGCATCTAGATCAAGGGAAGTAATAGTGCCACTGTATTCTGCTCTGGTCAGACCTCACCTGGAGTACTGTGTCCAGTTCTGGGCACCACAGTTCAAGGAGGACACTGACAAACTGGAACGTGTCCAGAGGAGGGCAACCAAAATGGTCAAAGGCCTGGAAACGATGCCTTATGAGGAACGGCTAAGGGAGCTGGGCATGTTTAGCCTGGAGAAGAGGAGGTTAAGGGGTGATATGATAGCCATGTTCAAATATAGAAAAGGATGTCACATAGAGGAGGGAGAAAGGTTGTTTTCTGCTGCTCCAGAGAAGCGGACACGGAACAATGGATCCAAACTACAAGAAAGAAGATTCCACCTAAACATTAGGAAGAACTTCCTGACAGTAAGAGCAGCTCGACAGTGGAATTTGCTGCCAAGGAGTGTGGTGGAGTCTCCTTCTTTAGAGGTCTTTAAGCAGAGGCTTGACAACCATATGTCAGGAGTGCTCTGATGGTGTTTCCTGCTTGGCAGGGGGTTGGACTCGATGGCCCTTGTGGTCTCTTCCAACTCTATGATTCTATGATTCTATGATTCTATGATCTTGCAAGGGAGCAGTGGCTCTGCAGGAATGCTCTGTCATCCTCCACAACACTGCATTCCTCGGACTCTGAGGTGGGGCAGAATGAAGTCGTTGCCCAAAAGAGCGCCCCTCTTGAAAAATAAACCATCTGCTGAAGTTAAAGGTCAAGCGGTGTCACAACAGCTGGGATTCCAGAAGTTGGCCAGCAGCCTTCTGTCTCCTACCTAGGCAGAGCTGAAGGCAAGCCCTTCCATTGAGACCATTGTCACTGGAAGCCCCTTCAGTCTACTGCAAGGCGGTTCTTTAGAGGGCAGAGACTGTTCCACCCTGAAACCTTTACATTTCCACAGCGTAGGTGTTATGTACTGAGCTGAATCATAGAACGATAGGGTCCAGAATGCAGCAGTCTGATTGGTCTGCAGGAGCCACCCAATCCAGCTCCAGGTGGAAGTTAATCAGCGACCTGATTGGCCTGCAGGAGCAGCCAATCAGGCTTCTGGAGGAAGTGAATCCACAACCTGATTGGCCTACAGGAGCAGCCCGGAATTAGCCAATCACACAGGGCCCATTGTGTAAACAATGTATATATAGCTAGATGTTTTGGGGAAAGTTT